CTTCCTCATGCCGGGGTCAGGCCAGTCCTCCCGGCACCAGTACACGGGGCGGGTTTCGTTGCTGTAGCCAAGGATCACCCTGAAGTGCTTCTCTTCTTGCACCTGCAGCATGACCGCGGAGGGACACATGATGGCCACCGCCAGGATCCAGATGGCTGCTATGACGACAACCGCCGTCGACACCGTCAGCTTCTGCTTAAAAGGATAAACGATGCATCGGAACCTGCAGCAAAGACACGCAGGGACATACGTAGAAAAGCCTTTTAAGGAATATTTAATCAAACAGGCAAACATTTCTACACTTTACAAATTTAAAGAAATACAAAGGTAATCAGGCCCTCATCCTGCATAAGCCAATGGAGTTAGTTCTTCGCTCCATTTAAGAGCTCCGTTAATAATAAAAAGGGCTCAAAAAAGGTCACATTTATTGTTAACTTTTCTTTATATAATGTTTCCTTACCAGCTTGCTACTACTACTTCAGTAACCAAAGTATTTACCTGTGCCTCATTAAGCTCAAAAGCTGAGGAACTAACCATAGGCATCCAAGTATACCCAACTGTACTATTTTTAAGACAGAAATAGTGGAGGAGCAAATCACAACTTCTGTTTTTTAGACATGGACACATTTTATTTCATTTGCTGGTTCTGGGAACAAAATACCTTTTATCTGTTGCAATATTTTGTGGATCAGTGAATCAGCCTCCACATGGTCAAGTCGCCTTAGGGTGATGAAGATGCTCTCCCACCTCTGCATCATCTTACCTGTCTACAGCAATTGCAACTAGCGTGAAGACAGAAGCTGAGACAGAGATTCCTTGGACCATGCCACTCATCTTGCAAACCATGCTCCCAAATGGCCATCCTGAAAGGAAATTGGACATGGAAGTTTCCTCTAATGCACACTGCAGTACTAAACTTCCTCTAAGGAAAATAGAAGAGGAATTTCCTGCACAAAACCAGCACATTTCCTTTGCTCTCTGAGGCTGTAGGCAGTCAGGGAAACAGAAGGTGAATTTAGGCAAATAACTGCTTTGCCAAATGCTTTGAATGCCTTTCTGATGTTCTGAAAAACAGCAGAGCAAGGATTTGTGATTACAGGTTGAAATGGGGCCTCCACACAGGAGAGGAAATCGAGCACTACAGTTAAAGATGCCTTGAACACTTCCATTAAATCAGAGGACACGTAAGCTAACATTTGAAGTAAAAGCATCTCCTTCGGGTCCTTCAAAAACCAAATATAGTAACACTTCAGATCACCTTTGAATGAAGCTTCATGACATCCAGTGCCACTTGTCCTACTCTCAAAGCTATGCCACCTCCTACCAGCGTTTCTGCACTGGGTAAACAGGGCTACAAGGCATCTGATAGGGCCTGTGAACTTTTTAACCAGTGTAGAGGGCATATATGTGAAAGGGTTTGCCCCTTACACCAGAATGTAATACAAGGACTCCAAATTTGTCCCAGAGCTTATCAAAGGAATTGGTTCTTTACACCAGGAACAGAACTAAGAGATTATTTGTAGAGGTTACTGTCACACGCAGCATACTGCTACAAAGGGAGGAGAGCCCCCTTAAGCTCTTAATACCACATGCAGCAACCCAAGCTACCTGCAATGATGTTGTCCAGCAGAGTGGTGGGCATGCAGAAGATGCCCACCAGGAGGTCACTGACCGCCAGGTTTAAGATAAAGAGGTTTGTGACTGTCCGCATGTGTTTGCTCTTCAGAATGATAAAGCAAACGACGCTGTTGCCAACCATGCAGAGCAGGAAGATGAGGAGGTAAGAGATGATGAAGACAGCTGCCACTGAGGGCTGATGAAGGTAGAAGTCTACGTAGGAAACATTGCCTTCCAAGTACAGGTACTTGTATGTGCCATTAAAACTGAGCATAGGAGGCCAATCAGTTGAAGAATCTGAATCCATTTTCTTACTTACGTCGTACTGCACCTTAAAAAGAAAAGTTTTTTTAAAAAGGTCATTATAGCAGGTTTGAAATTGGTTTTTAGAAATGGATTTTTGAACAATGTGTTCAAAATACATGAAAACCTATTATATGCACTCATTCCTTTAGGGATTACTCTGTCAATCCATGTTCTGAGCATTCCCAGGCAAGAAAAGCAAAAAAATACTTCAAGCATGATTTTACAACATGGTATATAAGAGTGACCATTAAGACTGCTAAGTCTTGAAGACCTACATCTGCAGGTTCCACAAACAAGTGCTTTCCCTCCCAAACCAAGGATGCAAACTGGCCTTTTGTGACACGTCAGGTGTAGAAAAATTAAACAGCTACTGTTAAGGGCACACACACAAAAAAAGGGGACCTTGAGGAATGTGCTTGGTCACCACATCATCTGGCACTTAGCAGTAGTGTGGTTGCTGACATATTAAAAACAGGGATTAAGTTAAAGCTTTCTCAACTGCTACAAACTCTGTGCATCAACATATACCAATCCAGGCCCATTTCACTCTAAGGAAATGTCTTTTGCATGTAGTTAGACCACAGCTGACTTGAGTTCCCTGCTTAAACATTAAGCACTGTAGTAAAATACAAAACACCTGGATTCATCTTCTAGCTCTGCTACAAACTCATGTTTGTACACTGTTCTATTGAGGAATTCATCTGTTAGAAACTTCCCACTATAAACTCTAACCAATATCTCCTCCAAGTCTGCATATTCACAGCATAGAGTTTCCCAATTCAAATACTCTATTTTCACATTAGGCAAAAAAATGCTGCAGAGACTTTCAGATGTTTTACTTGATATACCATATCCGTTTTAACTTAGAAAGATCTATCACTTCTGTTGCAATAGCAATGCTTTAACAAATCTGTTCATTTGAGCTAAAGGAAAACAAAGCTTTATTACACACTAAAAAGAAATGAAATAATCACTTTAAGGTAGGTAGATAATTCATATGCCCCAGCTTAATTAGTGTAGAATTTATTGTTTGAGCTCAGCTACAAAAGCTGTACTATATTCTTGTGCTTCTGTGTTCCTATAGAAATACTACTAGTAGTACTTGGAATTTAACTCAAATACTAAGTTTTACTGAATTTTAACCTCTATTACACAGCACACAAAAACAGTATTAGCTTCCATGGCACACTGACAGTGAAATCTTGACATTATGATTGACACCAGATAACTTGGAAGTAGCATTCTATTTTTTTTTCCTCCCACATTCAATTTAACCGGCCAGATTTTATCTGCCAGTGTGAAACAGTGGTGAATAAAATGAGATGTCTGTCTGCTGATACCACCATCTTTTGGATGACAATTATGATAGAACAAAAAAAACCTTCTTTCTTGAACAGGCAGGCTGTGCAGGTGCTTCTTCTGCTGAAGGAGCATGAGATCTCCTTGACATGACTCTACAGGATGAAGTCTAAATCTTGCCCAGGTATCTCAAACACCAACATAGAGTTTGTAGCTCTGATTTGCTTTTAACCCAGCTCTTTACTGTGATGTTAATTAAATCAAAAAACACAAGGGTGCTTAGATTCAGACCTTCTCTCAGCAGCTAGTTTTGACAGCAACCTGGAACTCTCTTTAATGCAAAGAAAATAACACAAAATGGAGCAGATGCTTGTGGAAATCTGACTTTTGATACATCTTTCATGCAAGCCAGAGCAGTGGAGGAGCTCTGTTGGCTACTGACTGCATCTCAGCCTGCAAAAGCACCTCTAAGGAAACAGTGGTGAGTTTTGCTCTGTGCAATCAGCACAAAACTTAAGCTGCTGCTTTGTCTTACCTTCAGTTTTCCAAGATTTAACAAGTAGTAGTAAAACCACCCAATTCCAAGTGTTTAGAAAGCATCAGGCCACATGCACTTTCATATCCCCTGAAAAGGATGATTTTTGCAGGTCCTAAGTAGAAATTAATAGCGCAGTAAAGGCACTGATGCTAAGGTTAGCAGGACTAGTCTTACAAAGGCCACAGCTTACAGAAGTGGCCCTGTGTAAGCATCAAAGCCAAGGTGGAAGAGGTTTGCATGGAAGGAAAAACAAAGGGAATACTTTGTGTTTTGAAAAGATACTGACCAACTAAAATAGACAAGGATAAACAGAGGCATGGAAGACAAAAGCAAAGACATCCAAAAACAAGAAAAAATGTTGCATAAGATGGTGATAATAGAAGTAATTGGTTTTCACATGGTAATTTGCTAAGGACATGGTATTCCTACTTTGTCTGATGTCATGACAACAAATGAAGGCAATGAGCACAAATGTTTAGAAGTGTTCCAGAGGAACTGAGAAAGCAGGAGCCTCAACCAAACACTGCAGCTTCAGAGTGCAGTTTTATACTGGCCACAAAGAACAACTCTGGCAGCCACTAGATGGGCAGTGCAGCTGCCCTCTTTTTTGCACAAGCCTGTTTTTATTGCTGTCTCAAGACCTGAGGCCTTAGAAGCCCAAAAAATGAAAGAACAAGGATGCTCCAGGAACATGAACAGAAGTAGGTAATGGAGGCAGAATGGGGTAAGTACCATGAAATTTATCTTGTCCTAAGCTCTGTACTTAATGGATCAAGTACACACATCTCTTAGAAACTGTGGCACATGATAGCATCCCTTCTGCTTAAAAGCTAGCAAAGCCACTCTGCAAAATGAGATGAGCTGCTGAGGGATGGCCAAAAAAAGCGCCTCATTCTGCAGGTACATTAGGAGAGCAATGAAAGGATTGACCTGTGATTCAGTGGATCAGAGCAGCTGCTTAGAGAAAAGGCCAAAATGTTTTTCCCGCCCAAAAATATTCCCAACTCAAAGTACTATTAGTAACAATTTTTCAGAATTTAAGTAATAGAACAGAAAATGGTCACTTGTGATCTCTGCCTTTAAGGAATGTGCTAAAGGAAGGGGAAGGGACTAATAGGGAATAATAAAAGGCATAATCACAGAAGCACTTCTGCAGAGGCCAATCCCTCCAGAGGCCAGGCTGAACAGAAGAATGCTGTTCAACAGGGACAGAGCACTTGGCAGGTCACTCTGGGGAATAAGCATCAACACAGCAGTCATATCCACAGGGATCCACGGGTTATACCAAGTCTTCAAGTGAAGGCAGCATAGGATGGCACAACATGCCAGTAGCAAAGGCCCTGTTAGAATATAAGCACAGTCAGCTTGCACAACACAATCCTTTCATATTTGGGGCTTCTTAACTACTGTTGTTTTGTTTGGAACTCAACACAGATGGGCACCAAGTAAAGAAGCCCAGGAGAAAGTAGCAGGAAAGATCAGCAGACTAAATCATGGCTAAGAAAGGGATGGAGCCATTTTCACTTAGGACATGATTTACAAAGATATTGCAGTATATTCTCTGCTTTCACGATGCATCTTCTAAGTTTCCTATCCTAGGATCACTCATGCAGGCCCCTTGCAAAGGACATGTCTGCAGTTCACTCTAAGCAGACCTCTTGCTGTCTCTTCCAGAGTTGAATCATCAAGAGCCAGAGAGACAGTACCAGGCCAAGCAGTGTACACAGCACATTGTAGAACAGTTTTCTGTTCTCAGCAAAACCAAGCAGCTGCTTGCTTTATTTGAAGTGCAACAGGCAGAACTGCCTCTTTGGTGAGTAAAGAATCTTACAGATTTAGGTTTATTAACCTTTTTTCAAGTTGAGCTGTAACTGTTTTGCAGTTAATACAGACTCCAGGAAAGGCAGAAAGCTCCCCTACATAAGCAAAAGACTTTATTGCCAAGCACAGTCGGAGGATATTTAACATGCTTAAGACATCCTTTAGAAATTAGTTCTATTTACCTGTTCATATGTAAATTGTGGAGATTTTGCATCAACTTTCTGTAAATCAGGTCTTACCTTAAGATACCTTAAGGACATGCTCAGTCATTAAGCTTCCAGCTAAAAAAGGTGGAGTCAAAGCCTTACCAAAAATAATGTAAAATAAAACATTCCCTTTGACATCTACTTCAAGCTGTAAGTAAAGCTCAAAATCTTGATTCTTAAAGCAATGCGACAAAGCAAAGCACCCATCTTAAAACTGCATGCAGAACTCTTCTAGTGGACTTAGGTTGTTTGCCTCCCCCTAAACCTCACTTATCTGGGCAGTTTGAGCTGGGACCCAAGAAAATATTCTGTCTGAGTCTATTAAAAGACAAAACCTTTACTTTTTCCTGCCTTAATGGTGAAGGGTAATGTTCTGTCAGATTGCTGACAGAGACAAAACAAGTCTTCATTCCTATGATATCTGCTATTCATACACCTGAGCCAGGAATATGAAGTCTCTTGTCAAAGCCATATCTAGTGAAATAAGAATTCAGAATATACTAGAATAGATAGGAAAAGGAATTTGCTGCTGTAAATGCCCTGTATAGCATTGCTGCTATACAGGGCTTCCTTTATGAAATTCAAGTAGAATTATAGACATTATGCAACAAATATGGTCTTGATCAAAACCACGTTGAGGATGATTATGAAGATTTAGAATAAAATCTTGCTATATTTAAACATTTTTGACCTTCACTAGCAGAGAAGTTAAGATACAGTGTAATTTAATCCCCCTTGTGTCAAGCACATTTGTTGTTTCTATTCACTTCCTCATAAAGAAAATCCAAATCCTAAATTCCCTATTTAAGCAAAGCTTAAATGAGCTAGAAGCTTGTCAGTTTTTTGTAATTCTCAATGTACAGGACAGATTGTGCTGGGAAGAAGAAAACTGATTGTTTCTGAATATTAGCTAAGGAGTGGTTCTTGGTTACAAAGAAAAAAGCATGTTAGCAAAGCTAAACAGATGCTCTGAGCAAATACATTGCTGCATGTGTTATTTTAAGATAACCATGAAACTAATTCTTGGAGAAGAGTGTACCTCAGCTATAAGATTTTTCTTGCTTCTTATTATAATCCTACTTGCTTGCTAAATGCTTGGCCAGC